TGCTGTCAATTAGAATGCTCTTTTAAAGTGAATCACGATTGTCTCTCCCCTATAAAGAAACCTTCTTTACTCTTTAAATAACATAAAACAGAAGTTTAATGAAAATCTAAGCTTGTTGAAAAACTCCAAAAAGCTTTAAATCTATGTGCTTTTATAAAGTACAAAGGAGTTTTAACCACAATAAACAAATTAGGTTCAGAGACGGTGATTTCCAAGAGAGGGGCATCGTGCAATGAACAGAGTAGAGGCTATAGAAGTGAGGAAGAAAGTCCTTGCCACTACACATGCTGAAAACACATGTTACCTCCAGGGGTGTAATAAACCATAGTCATAACATGAGAGAAGCCTTTCTCAAATGCAGTCTATTATATTTTTGGATGTGCTACAGAGAAATGTGAAGTTAGCATATAAGGAGATCTTTAAAATCATGTTGGGATTAGTTGTGTTTATTTATCAAGGCAAGCAGCTGCTCTGGTGAGCTCTTAAGGCCCCCTTTAGCCCCAGGATTTTCCTCTGCTATGCCTCTTTTTGTCTTCTCACTCTCTGTTTTGTGTTTTTGCATGTGTGCACCTGTGACCTTCTTGGTCCAGTGGGAAGAAGTCAGTGGCTACGATGAAAACCTAAACACCATCCGCACCTACCAGGTGTGCAATGTCTTCGAGCCCAATCAAAACAACTGGCTGCTCACCACCTTCATCAACCGGCGGGGAGCCCATCGCATCTACACAGAGATGCGCTTCACTGTGAGAGACTGCAGCAGCCTTCCCAATGTCCCAGGTTCCTGCAAGGAGACCTTCAACTTGTATTATTATGAGACTGACTCTGTCATTGCCACCAAGAAGTCGGCCTTCTGGTCTGAGGCCCCCTACCTCAAAGTAGACACCATTGCTGCAGATGAGAGCTTCTCCCAAGTGGACTTTGGAGGAAGGCTGATGAAGGTCAACACGGAAGTCAGGAGCTTTGGGCCTCTTACTCGGAATGGTTTTTACCTCGCTTTCCAAGATTATGGAGCCTGCATGTCTCTCCTTTCTGTCCGTGTCTTCTTCAAAAAATGTCCCAGCATTGTGCAAAATTTTGCAGTGTTTCCAGAGACCATGACAGGGGCAGAGAGCACATCTCTGGTGATTGCTCGAGGCACATGCATTCCCAATGCAGAGGAAGTGGATGTGCCTATTAAACTCTACTGCAACGGGGATGGGGAATGGATGGTACCCATTGGACGATGCACCTGCAAACCTGGCTATGAGCCTGAGAACAGCGTGGCCTGCAAGGGTAAGCTCTGGGGGTCTCTGCTTCCTGCCTACCTGGAACAGGCTGGTCTGCAAGGCTGTCCTGTCTCTAGCCTCTGGGTCATATAGGAACAGAAAGAGCCTACTGGCTAATTATGAAGCTCTGGAGAACCACCAACCCCAGTGCTAGGCCTGAGGGCTTTCCAGTTGGGCTCAACTAGATCGTGCATATTTATGCTGGCAAGAAGAAATGGGGCAAAGTCTAGCAAAAATAACTTCATAACAAGTTGGTTCTATATAGTTTTGAGTCTCTTGTTCCTCTCTTCTCTCTCTCCCACCTCTCTTTTCTATCTCTCTCTCTGCCTCTCTCATATGCACACAAAAACACACATGCCCAAGTTCAAGGGCATAGAGAATTTGAGTTGCCATGGATAATTCGCTCAAGAGTAATTGAGAAATGACTGAATTTGGAAAATATTTTAGTTTATTTCAGTCCAGCTCCCACAGCACTCAGTTTGGTACTGAACCCATATAGCTCATTAACTCAAAGCCCTCTGGCATGGCTTTCTTTCTTTAGGGGCTCAGTGCCAGACCCTGGAAGGAGATGAAGTGGTTGGAATGGGAGTGGGACTGTACCATGTATGGTATTAACTTTTGCTTCTGAACAACACAGAGTGATGCAGACCTTGCAGTTTGGGGGCATCAGGATTCTGTGTGCTCTCACTAGCCCTCCTCAACCCATGAGAGCTCATGTCCAACATGCAGCAGTGAGTGTGCTAACCCGGCTAGAGGCCAGTCTGCCCTGGGAGTGGACAGAAGGGTCTGGAGGCCCCACAGCTTATGTTTCACCTAAGTGCGTGGAAGCTGAACATGGAGGAAATCCAGGCTTGGGAAGGGAAGAATACTTTCCTGTGTTAAATTTTGCGTGTGACCTTCAAAGGTTCTGAATTGTTTAAGAGGAAAGCTTCCCGTATGGACCTCAGAAATGACCACCTCAACCCTTACATATCACTAGAGTTGCCCTCAGTCATTTGGGGTTTGAGAGCTGTATTACCTCCTCCTTCTTCTCCATCGTCAGCCTCTTGCCATCAGCGTTCACTGGTGTCATTCTGGCCCTGCCTATGCACCAGACCAGCTCACACCTATTTACTACTCTACCTACCTTGCTCTCCAGACACCTGCAGGTGAGGGCACAGGACCGCAATATCCATAGGCTCTGCAATCCTTTGGACTCAGCTAATTGCCTCGGCTGGAGCACTCATACAGCCTTTCTGAGGCCTGCTGAGAGCAGAGAGCTGTGCCTTTGTGTCTTTATTGGATTTCTTGATCATGGTACCCGTGATGGATGGTGTGGAAACAGAGGGGGGAGAGAGCCGGATCCAGTGATGAATCAACACAGGCAGTTTTAAAATCAGCCCAGCCTGGTCCCACAGTGTTCCTCTTTGTCCCTTTGGGTGGGAGAGGTGGGGCACCCTCTTTGGCATTTGTCAGAGTCTGAGTGGGGACCAAAGCACCAGGCTGAGTTCTTAAAGGTGCAGGTGCAGCCATTGCCAGGCATGTCGGCCTCAGCGCACAGGCGGGGTGATTTCTCTGGACTTCAAAGGGCTGCCACGCCACACTTGCTGGCTGCGCCCTCTCATTTTTCTCATTATATCCTGAGCAGAACGGCAGGAACCAGAGTAAGCATTGATTGGTTCTGATTTAATTGGGACTCTGGGAACAGGCTCTCATTTCTTCGGGCTAATTGGAACTTTTCTCTTTTGAGGGGTGCTGCTGTCCATGTTGCTAGTCAGTCACCTCCTGTGGCTGTCCTGGGAGGGCCTGTGGGGACAAATATGTAAATCCAAGTTGTTTCTTTCCATTCTCCCTTCCCAGCCCCAACCCCCTCCTGAGTTTTAGAAGACATTCCTAATCTTGAGCTATGGTGAATCTGGCTTCGTAAACCTTCCTAATGCCGCAGCCCTTTAATATAGTTCCCGTGGGTCTTGACCCACAGGTTGAGAACTGCTGCACTAGAGGGTGGAGGAAATGAAGATCCCATGCACCATCCCTTTGCCATTTCAGAGGCACAGACATTCACAATTTGGTGGCACTTCTGGGAGTGGAGAGTGGCAAGTCAGGGAGCAGCAAGGGTCCTGTGGCCCAGAAGCCTGTTTGAGCTCAGTGCACTGGAAGGGCAGAGAAGGCCCTTTCCTCATCTCAGAAACTTTGAGGGGCATCCCTGAAATCTTTGCCCTTGTTCTGCTGGCTGAGCAAGACCTCCTTGCCCAGAGTTCACGTACGGCTGCTCCAGGGAGGTCAGGGAGCCCTCAGGCATAGATGGTCATCTTGGGAGGCCTCTGCACCCTTAGGTGGGGGGGTGGGCAATGATGGTGGAGGAACTTGTGACTGGTCTTCATGGTGTTTTCATGGGAAGGTTTTCTCCCCATTTTGGGTGCTCATGCTGTACTGCCAGGTGGGGATCACAGACATTCACAGTAGTGTCGGGGCGGCCTATTTAGCACAGCCAATCCTCACGAGGCCAAGAGCATGGAGAATGGGGTATGCCCCCAGCAGCTACTCTCTGCAACAGCCCTGAGAACTGACACCCCTGAGGCTCACTTGTGGGAGCCTGAATAGTTCTGTGATGCTCATGTAGTGTCAATTTGATACATTTTATTTTCCGGTTACATGAAACTAGGACTTTGCAGGGTAGTGGAAAGAATATCCTTTTTGTTGCTGATTACATGTTGTGTTTCGAAAAGCACAGGCTTTCATGCTGGGCAGGAAATCATATTCTCTTGACTTTGACTTTGCTTCAGCTAATCCCTCTCCTGTCCGAGTGATAGTGACCAGTTTCCTGGTTGTGCAGGGGCATCTGGAGGCCATGTAGGCAGTCCAGCCTGTGAAGAGTGGTCTTGGCCTAGAGCTGCTCCTGCTGCAAGGAGGAGAGATGGGGGCGAGCAGAGGAGAGCAGAAGGATGTGCAGCACATGGCTTGTACATTTTCTCGAGGGCTTCTTGGCCTAAGGCCTTTTTCTGACTCTTCTTTTCTGCACACACAGGCTGCACCCATCAGGCAGAATCACCCAGGCCTGCTGACTCTGACTCATCATGTGTTTGTCTGTGAAATTACTGATTACTAGGAAAATGGCCCATCTACCCCCAACTTTAAGTTTTGTGCCCATAGAATAGTGGATTCCTGAGAAATCATAGTCCATGCCTCCTCCAAACCTTTCCCTGCCAAGGTTGACAGCTAAGCCAATTCTGTGTGCAGGTCCCATGTACCAGGGAGGCCAAGGTGGCACTTGGCAAACTTTCTCTCTGCTGTGGAGCCTAATATACACATTGGCTGAGCTTAGACTGTAGTGAAAATGGTGGGGCTGGGACTGACAGTTGTTAGGAGGAGCCTGGCAGGGCGGGCTGCCTGTCTGTCTGTAAGATGCTTGGGGACTACAGTATCCCATGTGAGTGTCCATTGAGGGTGGTCCCAACTGCTGTGACAGCCTCTGGGCAGCTAGATACTAGCTACAATACTGTGTTCATGGGACTTGGATCTGTTCTGCCTCTGAGCACTCTTTAAGGCAGGCGTCCTCAAACTATGGCCCGAGAGCCACATGTGGCCGGCCTAGGACGTTTATCCAGCCAGCCGAGTGTTTTTGCTGCTGCTGCCTGTCCTGCTTAGCAGCCGACTCTTCCCAGGGCCCTCAGTCTGGCTCTCCAACGGTCTGAGGGACAGTGAACTGGCCCCCTGTTTAAAAAGTCTGAGGACCCCTGCTTTAAGGGGTCAGCTTTTCCTCCTGGAACATAATCCTTGGAGTTTCTAGAGGGAGCTTCCTCATTAGCCATGGTGGAGACTCAGAAAATGGCCGTGCTATGCATACTGCAAATCTCTCTCTGCTGCTTCTCTTGCCTCTGCTCTTCACCAGGATGGCCTTAGCACACTACTGCAGAGGGCACACACCACGCTATGGTGTCGGTCATAGGGATGCGGTGTAGGGGATATGCCCAGGTGAAAGAGACTCAACCTAGAGAGGACTGGTTTTAGGCTCTGCAGTGAACTTGCTAGGTCATTTTAGGTAAGTCCCTTTCCACTGATAATCCTATCCTTTCTGTCTACTATTTTTCAGGGTATGTGAAAATCACGTAAGATAATGGATGTGAGAATATTTTATAAGCTGTGTAGTGCTATGCATTGTTAGGTGTCATTGTCCTTAGGCTCTGAATCACTTATTAAGGAAATGAGAATTTGAATGAAAGTGGCATGTGGTTCCCTCATCCAGAAACATAGTAGCAGGAGTCCTTAAAGCTCATCCATCACCTTCTTACACCTGCCCTGGCCCAGCTCTATGACTGTCAAGCAGTGAAAATAGCACATAGGGGTGAGCCACTGTCCCTCAACAGGTCAACTGGTCAGTTAACAAAGAGGCGTGGCTCACATGGCTTACCTTGAGTCAGGTGGTCTAGGCAGGTGGTCTTTGTGAACTGGAGGCACACACAGGGACAAAGGTTTTCAAGCCAACAATTATTGCCCCCTAGGCAGGCATGAGATCCCTCTTAGAAAGATGTTATAAAGTAACATCCCCAGCTGCCTCCTTCTGAGACTATGACAGGTAGGTCTGGCATGTGGCCCAGGTGAGTGGAGTTTTTGAAAGCCAAGGTCCCCAGGTATGAGCTGCAAATCAGGACTATATCCATGTGGCTGGAGTCTAGAAGAAAGGGGCCCCAAGGTAGACACTTAAGGTTTTGTTGGGCTTGTGAGATTTGAGACAGGTGGACCTCAGTGACCAAGAAGATGAAGGAGTCTGGGAGAGGAGACTGCAGAAGCAAGCTAGGGCTGGAGGAACCAAGCACAAGACCTGCAGGCAAATAGCAGAGCCTTGCTGAGAGGCTGGGGCTGAGGGAAGGCCATGAAGGGCAGCCCTGAGCAACCCAGAGTGTCACCATGACACCTCAGCTGATAGTTGGCCCTAAAGCATTCTGAAAAGGGAAGAGAGACAGAAAGATGAGGACAGACTCTCCAGGCATTACAAAAGAGAAACCTTCCCTGTAGCTGGCTAGCACA